TACTCATACAAACTCATGCATGCAAGTGGGTAGCATTATTTTGAGGAAAAAATTGTTATGTAGGCTCTATGAACTCCCACTTGGATTGGATGGACTGATTTGGTGAATAATGATGAAATTAATGTTGGTTTAGTGCTTAAATTAGTGGATTAATGTTGTATTGTTGGTAGAAAATCAAAGGAGGTGCTTGGGGCAAAAGTGACCGTTTTACCCCTGCCTTGTCCGACCACTTTTGTGCAAAATTTTGAGGTTCTAATGGCTTGATTATGTTGTTTACATGTTATATTGGTTGTGTAAAAAGTTTCATTAAAAAATAACTTGATTTGGTCACCCAAATGTTGGATTTACGAAAGCTTAGAAATCTGAAAATTTATCCCGTATTCACCCAGGCAGTGTATTTGTTTCGGCTATATCTTTTTATTCCGATGTCTGAACCGAGTACCGTTTGTGGCACTAGAAACTAGACATTCCTAAATTTCTATTGGTACAAAATGCACATTCTGGTTGCATTTGAGTGAGCCAAACCATTCGTTTGAAATCCACTGTCCTGTTTCGTTGCTTCCTAGAAGGCAGCACATGAGCTGCAAATTGATGCTCACGAATGAGCTATTTATGGACAAATTTTGAAAATGGTTTTTTCTGAGAAAATATATCCTTATGAGTCTATTTTCTAACGCCACCAACCACGCTCAATTCCGAGTTGAATTGAGTGATTTATGATCGAAATTCAAAACTGACTTTGTGAACGAAAACAGTATTTTGGACAGATTTGAAACTAACTACGGTTTGGGACTTGTTATCCAAAGCTTCTTATTGTAAATCATCTATCGAATGCACCTTGAACATATTTTGGACATTTCCTACTGGAATAAACCATGTTTGAGATGTTTCTTGACCAAATGTTTGGAAACGCCAAAACGGAAGTTCAAAGGTAGCTTAGCCTTCGAATTTCTTGTGATTTCAACGGTTTTGTTAACCCACTTTTTGTGCTTATTTATCCATAAAATTTGGTAGAGGAACAACCCTTATAGGGCAGTATTATACTACTAATTTTGGTGTTATTCTGAGGCCGTTTCATTGCTCAACTAAACTTCCAAAGTTCGTGACTTGATTTTAGAAAACCCTTGTTTAACAAGGAAATTTGAGTAACTTTGAGCTACCATATCTTGGTGCTCGAAACTTCAATTCTCATTCCACTTGTTTTGTTTTAAACCTGGATTATAACTCTAATAGTGTTCTAAATTTCAAAGACTAGTTGAAATTGAGTGAATTTTTGCCGAATTTCCAAAGTTGGCTAAAAACCAACCCCGAAAGCTGTCTTTATGTTCAAAACAGCAACTTTGAGCCAATTTTTGATACTTTCCGTCTAGAATCATGGGAAAGTGTATTCTATAAACTTTTAGCACCTTCGAAGAGGTTTCCAACAGTACCAAGTTTTCCAATTTTGACTTGTAAAGTGTGAGATACGATTTTTCTAATGTATCGTATCAAAATTGAAATTTTCCGAATTCCAAGGAAATGGAGTTTTTCAAGTACTCCTTATTCCTTCGATATTACTTGAATGTTTTATACTTGATTTCCAAGATGGAAACTAAATTTCTCTTGTACTTTGAAACCCCACTTGAGAGCCTTGATTTAGGATCAATAGGGCTTGTTTCACGAGACTTTCTAAGATTGTACTATGGTACGATCTTCTTTAATAGTAGGGGTTTGTAAATGATAGTCTATTGTTAATTGCTCAGGCACACAAGAGGACCTTCAAGAGGATCCCACAGTGAACGCCTAAAGCTCCGAGGGACATTTCTTCCTCATTTTTTATATTGGTGAGTGTCAAGTGCATGATTACTTGAACTCCTACGAACTTGATACATGCTTACCTGTTATCAATGCTTTGAGATTTCGAAAAATGGAGTCGAGTGTGTACTTTATCGCGGTCGTTCTCATTTGAAACAATGATTTATGCTTCAAATGCTTGAATATATCAATTGATGGAATGTGTCAAATGATTGAATTACATGAAATAGTATGCTATGGCTGCATACGTCGTTGGAGTGAATCTCCTCGACGCACAAATGTACATGGGGGATGCCCAAACTCATAGGCCGACCTTGGACTCGAGCTAGCATGAGCTTGGTTGGGAACCTTGGCGAGCCATGAGACAAATAAACTCGACCTAATGAGAGGTCTTGCTTGGCATACTCGTGGAGTATCGCCTTATAAATGTCTTGCAGGCCCGGTGTAGTGTACGGTGGACAGAGGGAAGTAAGTGGTGATTTACGGAATAGAAATACCGACCCGGTTGACGGAGAGTCATCGCGGGAAGGTATACGAATGAACCTGGCAAAGCATGTGGAACTTAACTCCTGAGAGCTACCATATCCTTGAATTGTTTCTGTTTACATTTCATTGGAATTGTCAATTACTTGTACTTTATCTTTTGACCTGTTATTTGGGCTTGTTACTTGGACTATGTACTTGCATGTATGATCTTGGCCTCACGAGCGTTTCGCTCACCCTGTAGATTTGTTTTTCTTAACAGGATTGGGCATGGAATGAGACTTGGAGGAACCCCTTTTGATGTACTTTTGGCATAGGATTTCTCATGTATTTTGGGCTAGACCTCTTATTGGTTGTACTTTTGGAAATCTGATGTATGATTTGGATATTTGATGTACCTGGATGTTGTATATTTTGGGTATTGATATAACTTTTGGGAATTTGATGTAAGGATTGGATAATCATTATATGTATATTGTTAAGTTTGAAAGTTTTCAGCACTTTCTTACTTATCTGGTGTTGTTGAATAGTATTGTACTAAGCTTGAATGGATATTGCCATGAGTCCTGGCGAGAGCTGGGCAGGCATCCCGCGGATACCCTCTGGTTCACGTTAGGGAGAAGTGGGGACGTCACAGTTGGTATCGGAGCTTAGGCTTTAGATCTCTGTAGTGTATCCTAAGTTTGAAAGTTTAGGATGCCGGACTGTAAAACTAGTTGGGAAGTTAAGTGATCACTTGTGAAAGTGAAAATTAGAACCTAGGTTTGAATTAATGGATGGCAAGGAATCTTGATCTTGTGTGATACATTTGGGATAGTATGAAGTGATCAAATCTGGTTTATTTAGTGTATTTGGATCTACATGAGTTCTTACCTTTAAGGGTAAGTTATGTGAGGTAAGTGTGATATTAAATTGTCTTGGGGACGCCTTCCGGTGGTCCATTATTGAGAGAGACCTAAGGGAGCATTGGAGAGATAATCCAATTTGCTAGACTAGAACTTCACGTGATTTTCAAAGGACTTGCTCGCGTCCAAATGTGGGGGTGTTAATAGTGGTCGATCATCTAAAGTGGCTGTCCGAGGAAACTAGGGTAGTTCGAGAGTTGAGGGCAATTGTGGATGCCTAAACTGCTAGAATTCCTGAAGTGGAGAATGAGGTGCTTGAGGAGCGAGGAAGACAAAGGCATCTTGTGAGAAGCTTTAAAAAGCAAAGAACCGACTTGTTAGGGTAGTACACGAAATTAAAGACAGGATGGATAAGTCGATGGCTGGATGTGTTACCTTGGTTGAACAAGTGGAAGATGACAAGATATTCGGTAAGGGACATGAGATCTAAAACTCCTAGTGCTGGAAATGAAAATGATCATACGGAGGTAGTGAAGACTTTTGGCTCCGCCAATCACTAATCTAGTGATTTAAACTATTTTAATAGTTTTTGCCAAAGATAAACGGGGTGGCGTTCGCTTAAAGGCCATTACATTTTGTATCTTGTTTCACTATATTTCCTACCTTGTGAGGCGATTAAACGCTACTCATGACATGTTTGACTTTACTGCTTTATGATTTCAAATCCATAATTGGGTTGTACACATTTGCGATTATTTCAGTGTCTTCCCTTTTATTTTTGTATCTGTTTGGTGTGATAAAGGTGTCACTTTTAAACTCCGCTTATGTGCGCTCACTTTATGTCATGCCTTTAAACATGTTAAATTTATGGGTGGCCAAAGGAGTGGAAAAGGATCGAGGGCGAGGGGTTAAACAACTCCAAATTCAAGGGGACGAATATAGAGCGACTGCTGGACTGAACCCGAAACTTAGAAATGAAGGAAACAATCACATAACTACTGCTATTGACCATATGATTGATGTCCCAGCACGATTGATTAAGTACTAAAGCTCTAGACTAATAAGCCAACCTAAAAATCAAGAGAGATGTGCACTACAAGAAATTTGGTCATCAGTGACAACTGATTATTATCACAGAAAATGTAAAAGTCGTCACTAACGTGTTTTACTGACAACATTTTAGTTGTCACAAAGTCGTCAGTGAATCTCTGTCGGTAAAGGTACACAGTCACAACATTAAATGTCGTCAGTAAATGTTATTCATTAGTGACAATATTTTTTGTCAATAATAAATACATATATAGTGACGACATCTCACCTTATCAATGATGCTCGTAGTAGTGTCGTCAGTAAAATCCTTTTCATAGTTGCCGTTGGTATTGATTGGTTACTCACAACTCTTTAGAGTCGTCACTAAAAATGGCTCTTTACTGACAACATTTATTATCACTATATACCTTTTTGTTATACACCCTATTTAGTGACAACTTTTTGTTGTTAGTGGAGAAATCTGATTAGTAACAATATATTGTCACTATGAAACCCGATACAAACGATTGTCCTAAAAGCAGCCAATCCAACAATACATCAAATTAGAACCATATAAGGCCTGCTAATTAATATCTAAAAGCATCCATTATACTAAAAAGGAATCCAACAATTCATCAAATCAAAAGAACCATAAAAGGCCTGCTAATTAATAGCTAAAAGCATCCATTATGCTACAAAGGACCAAAATATAATGTTTAAGTTCAATGTCATCCTACAAATACTACAATAGAAGTGGTACTGTGTAACCCAAATTGTTCATGCAAAGTCAATCAAGTTTACAAAAAGCATCCGAGCCTCAGAAGTCATAAAAACTTCCAAAACACTTCACGAGCCAAAAAAGAAGCTTTATCTTCATCCTTCTTGAGTCCACTTAGTAGCTGTGAATTTTGCACAAAATCTGACATAGTAGCATTTGTCTGCATAAAGTAGTATAACAATAGTAAGTAACAAGCATTTTGAAAAGGAAAAAAATCTTAGATTTACTTATCACAAACTCAAATAATGAGTAGGAAATTATTAAGGAAAAGAATAAAGAAGGTGAAGAATTGTCATAACAAGAACAATATCCCAAATGAACTCAAAAGTTAGCTATTAAAGTATTAGTAATGTCAATAACTTATTTATATTCTATATGTTCTACTGAAGACAAAGGATTGTTACTTATAAAAATTAGCCATGGATAACATAAAACAATGATTCGCTGCAAATTGCTGTGCTACAATAACTTGATTAAGTTCATTCTTCAACCCGTAAAAGGTTATTTTAAATTAGCTTACTACCCAAAATTAAACCATCTATATAAATGCCCTCATTAAGTCAATTGGGCAGAAAATTATGTCCATGATTCATATTGCACTTGATTTGTACTATTACAAATCTACCTTATTAAAAGTATGATCAGAAAAAGGTTTTGCCATGCATTACGAGCATATGTGCTCTCATTACCTTGCTGCCTAGCTTCCAGTTGTGTTTAGAGATTTAAGCAGGCTCTGCATTTCATTCTGCTGTTTCTGCATCTAAGTTTGTTGGCTCACAAGTGTTTCCATCAGTTGCTGCTGAGATTGGATAGTCATTTCCAATTAAGTGCGCATGTGATCACAAAAACAAAGGAAAAAGGAAAAAAAGAGAGTTCGTGTTAACTCACCTTAAAGTAAAAAATGCAGCTATATGACAATCTCCTAGTGAGACATTGAGCCTATGTCAGTAGCTTCAATCATTGCAAAAGCTAATAATCACAGTACAAACAATTTAAGTTTTGGGAGTTTAATTCACATCAAATTGTACATATGCAGATTGATCTAGCAATACCTACAACTATCAATCTGAATAGAGCATTATTGCTCAAAAATTAAAGGATAGTCAAGCATAGTCATTACAATCAACTTTAGTCAAGCGTAATCTATATTTGAGCTAACTAGTTGTAAATGATTTTTATTAACTAGGGATGACTATGCTCTAGAGATTATTTCAACTAATCAAAATAATCTATGCTCCAGAGATGTCTTTTTAACAAGCAAAAAATAGAACATTTAGAGGATTAAATGAGACAAAATAGACCAAACAAGTTGCTAGATGGATTGCACAACTTTTTTAGAAATTAAGAGTAAATAGATGGATTGCACAACTTATTTGTGCTTAGTTTAATCTGTCAAAACCAAATCAAGGCATGTCCTGGTACCAATACCTTTTGCTCTTCATGGTATTTTGTAGGCCTTGTCCATAAGTCGCTCGTTGACTGAAGCCAAATTTACAGCAGAAAATGGACAAGTTAATTGCAGAGAATTACTCAACTCAGTGATCCAATCTGTACAAGAAGCCGGTGGATTAATTGATTATGCAGAGGTCAGGCATCATACGTAATTACATGAAAGTCTATACTACAATGCAACTTTTCTACAAAAATTCTGTTCAAAGCTGTATTTACATTAAATAAATAGATAGCCGTTCTAGTTGCCACTTAGCATATATCACTTTACTCTGGTATAGACTTGTAACAAATTAACTTTGCTTTCCTAAGACTAAAAAGTACCTAATAGTTAAGTGAAAAGCTATTGAGCTGATAAGCTCTCAATTAATTGAATGAAAAATAAGATAAGGATGAATTTTTCACCGCTCAGAATATGCAAAGGTGAACTCCATGATCCACCTATAAGACACAACTATGTATGTATCTATCTATAAAGTCATCTCATCTTAAACTTCATGCCTCATTCTTAAGTGATTCAATCTGAGTTGGTTAATTATCCACAGTGAAATTACAGCAGCACTATATATCAATCTTAAATAACAAGCCAAACTCCTAGTAGGTAAATACTAAATTGAACTAACTTGTGAAAGCTTTTAGCTAGCTTTCCATTTTAGGTTAATGTGCTCGAGCTTTTCTTGTATCAAGGCATACAAGTTAAGACCCAACTAAAATGTGACTAATTCCATATCAATTCCACTATTTTCCTATTGTCAAGACTATTTCAAGTGATTCTTTTAAGTTCATAAGACCCCAGATGAATCAGCAGATTATCATGATCACTTAATATTGTTTGGATAGCCATAGGTCTATAGCAATTGCCTTTCCTTGTATCATTTCCAACATCTTTTAAGTGAAGTGACATAATACAGTAATAGGAACACAAAGGACTCGTATGGTAGACATAATACAGATTGACCTAACTATTAAGTGAAGTGACAAATTTGACTATATATTTAGATGTTTAGAACAACAGGAGGAATACAAAGGACTGGTATGGTAATGGTTGAAGTTAGTATCATAAAGCCCACCATCAAGTCCATCTTACAAAAATCTATTTTTTCCTTTTTTTCTTAATGAGATCCCTTTTTGGGAAATAGGAAAAAATTACCACTCCAAATCAAACAAACAAGAAACAGGGCCATACACGCTTTGGCAATGTGAAGGAGAAAGCACACTCCAACTAAATAAATAGTTTATTGGTGAAATTCCCATTACAGTTAACCAAATTTCAACAAAACAAAAGATATCTTTGACAGTACAAAAATTTTCACCAAACCTTGTACCTATATCTTGAGCTACTTATCCACTTAATTAAATCCCGAATCACTATTTTTCATTTCCCTCTTAACCCAACACCATTCTACCAACTAGTTTCCTCGCATGCAACCACTTACTACCAAAAAATTCACAAAATCACTCCTAATTCTCTTCCATTCCCACTAACACAAAAAATGAAACACTAAATTTGCCCTCCTAGGCCCATCACAAATCGGTATGTACCCACAATCGAATCTCTCTAAAGCCCCTTGTTTTGTATAAGAAAAAGTTGGGAAAAAATTTTAGGGTAGAAATCCACAACAAAACAAATTCCACAATCAGGAGATGACTCCATCCATAAATCAAAAGAAACCCAAAAAAATTGGAGAGAAATTTTTAGCAAAAAATTAATTAGGGCAAAAAATTTGGGAAAATTTTCAGGAGAAAAAAGAGAAAGGGCGGACCTTCTATTGTAGAGTGTTGGTGGTAGAGGAAGTCTTCGATTCAGCACTGCAGAGCCATAATCAATCAACAGATATAAGGAGGAGAAGTTCTTCTATTTTGTTTGGCAAAGATGAAGAGATGAAGAGGGAGAAACTCATTTTGGTTCTAAGTGTTGGGCGTATAGTGTATAGTGAAAGAGTACTAGGAGCCGGTCTTGATTTCTAAGTGTTTTATGTACACCCGCGCCTCTTCTTTGTTTACTCACTTTTAATGAAATTTCAATTCCTTAGCTTCCCCCCATTCTTGTTTAGTTGCAAAATTTCAAATAAAGTTTTTTAGTTTTACTTTTTAGTTGAAGTATAATTTTAGTAATATATTATTAATTTATATTTGTTTATGCCTTTTTGAAACTATTCATAAAGGATGAGAAATTTGCTGCATTAATACTAGTGGTAAATGTACATTTTTCTACTTCAAATAGTTCGCTTTTTCATGATATCAAATAGCTCATCCAGTGTTAATATTCACGTCACTGTCTAGAAATTGTGAAATTACTACAACTTATTTATGTTTCTTTCATTATTTTAGCCTAATAGTACAGTAGTATTTTCAATTATTTTACATTGAGAAGCACGAATTTTGATGGCTATTCTTGCTTTAAATTATTGTACGATAACCTGAAACTTGTCATAAAACATGACTTTTTGCAGTGAATTAGACTTTTGTCAAAAATTACCTTGTCATAAAAAGTACCTTTTGCAATACCGTAGTTCTTAAAGTCAACTCTTTCTTATTAAAAATATTTTAAAAAAAAGATCAATTAGATAGGAAAAATATTTTTTCATAAATAATTCATTTACTATTAGTCAAACATAAAACTTCACATTTAATTTATTACCTTTGACTAAAAAATAAATAATTAAAGCAATAAATTGATTTAATTAATTAACTAAAGAGTTTAGGATTTATTTGCTTTAATAACTAGTTCAATTTACAAACTCTTACAGCTTAACATTTTTCAAATATTGGGAAATTAACTACAAAATTTCTTTAGTCCTTTTTCCTTTAACAAGTCATTCTTTGACAAATTAATATGACCAATTTGACTAAACTAGTCAAATTGCGAATTCATATGAAAATCAAGAGGCTCGAAATTGTATGATAGTCAACCGGTTTCATTAGAAACAAATCAATATTAATATTAATATATTGCCAAAGTTGTAAAAATTCTAAGATTGTTTAGTAACAACATATAATTATCACTAAAGCTATCCATTATTATAGTGACAACAGAGAGTTGCCAGTAACGAAAGTACACAAGCTTCAGTGATGATATTGCAAAGTTGTCAACAAAAATAGAGCTAGTAATAGTGATGATATTCATCAAGTCGTCACTAAAAGTATTCACCAATAACTCCGGCTCTCTTGGATCTTGTTAGAGGGAATATGTTTGTGATGACAAATACAAGTCGTCACTAATTAGTTAGCTCTATGAGACATTTGTGATGACTTTCAAAGTTGTTGATAGAGGACCTCATTCTGTGACAACTTTTCTATTGTCACTAAGAAATATTGTCACTGATGACCAAATTTCTTGTAGTGGTGAAAATGGAACGATTCTTGAAGTTCGCCTATTTAGGTTTCACGGAGAATCTAATCTCGAAATAGTAAGATTGATTTGAGAAGAAAATAATAAGGCACTAGTAAGAACAAGAGCTTATGATTTCTTCTCGAACAACTTTATAGATAAGTTTTGGAAAGTGAACTAAGACATAGAACCTTCATATTAAGAAATAAGGCCCGGTATCTTGTTGTGGTTGTAAATGATGATAGTATCCTCGTGGAAACCTAAGAACTTACTCGTATTAAGTAGAGACTAGTTAAGATTTATATGCCGAGGTAACCTATAAGCGAAAGAAAACAAGAGTACTACGGCTCGAGCTTCCATTATGAATAGCTATTCATTTTGATCCTTTGATTTGCCTGGCAGGTTAGCACTTGACTTAAGCCAATTGGTAAGATGACTACCTTGGAAGAAATGCATAAAGAGATGAACATTCTTCGAAATGAGGTAGAATTTCAAAAGAAACTGGTTGACTACTGGGAAGGGCGGTGGAAATAGGAATATGTAGAGAAAACTGAGTTGCTACGTAAAAATGTAGAACTGGAGAGGGAATACAAGGAAAATCCTCAAACTGGTCAAGCCGTCACTTCTCACGCAAGTTGTGGATACTGTGGCAAGATGAACCACACTGCAGACAAGTGCTGGATAAAGCAAGGAAAGTGTCTGGGTGCGGTAGTATCGAGCATAAGATTTCGAATTGTCCCGGTACATCTAAAAAGAGGAAATACTCAGCAGCCAGCTAGATTCGCCACAAAGTAATCTAGTGCCAAAAAGGTGTCTAAGTGCAAGAAGTTTTTCGAGTGGGGATAGATAACTTCACTTGAGGGATAGAGATTGTAACTTTACCCTAGACTAGACTGGCACTTTTGGAGATTTAATCTTTTGTATAAGGGAAAGTCTTTTGTTATTTTGTATCTTGGTAACTCGGCACGTTTTGCCATAATCTTGTTGTTTCCCTTCCCCTTTTGAAATGGTTTGATAAACCTATTCCAACTTGATGTACCCATTATGATCCTTATGACATATGAAACTTTACTCCGTTTTTGATTGGTTTTATGACTTACATGTATGTTTAAATCTTGCCCCACACTTTTAGATTTATAATAAAACACGAATGGTGT